CTTCACATTGAATAACCCGTACTTAATAAGGTTTTCTTTTTTTCCACTGGGTGTAACCCAGCTCCCTTGGGAAATTTGGGATAGCCATGTCAGCTGTCATGCTATCAAATGACATATCAAATGCTCTGCTCTCTTGTTATTTACCTAAGTCTGGAGATTTTATGTGTCAGAAACCTGTTAGAAAATCTTTCGTGTGGGTATATATGCTCTTTTCTGCTTACCTTTTTAGTAGATTTCACTCTTAGAAACCAGCCCTTAATATGGTGCTAGAAACTGAGATTTTTATTTTTAAAGGGGAGACCTGATTTTTATTTATATACATGTATAAATATATATATGGAATAAGTAGTCAGTATAAAAGTGGGGGATAATATGAAAAATTAAAGATGTCCATAACTGGCAATTTTTTTCTTAAATGTGATCTAGTTGCAGATAGACTCTTTTAAATCATTAAGGGACAGATATCTATAGAACAGCACAGCCAATAACAGTGAATACACATTGTTCTCAAGGGCATGTGAAACATTCTCTAGGATAGATTATATGTTATGCCATAAAACAAGACTCAATAAATTTAAAAGGATGGAAATGATTCAAATGTGCTCTGACCACAATGGAATGAAATTAGATATCAGTAACAGAGGGAAATTGGGAAATTCACAAATATGTGGAAATTAACCAACACACTCCTAAGTCACTAACGGGGGTAAAAGAGGAAATCACAAGGAAAATTAGAAAATAGTCTGAGATGACTGAAAACAGAAACACAACATAACATGGTGGTAATGGTTGCACAGTAATGTGAATGTATTTAATGCCACTGAGCTGTACACTTAAAAGTGGTTAAAACAGTAAATTTTATGTATGTTTTTCCACAATTAAAAGAAGAACCCTGGCATTCATTCATTGTTCAACAATAAATATTTAGCACCTATTATGCTCCATGCACAAAATTAAACAACATACCATAACCTTGGGGATGCAGTAAAAGCAGTGCTCAGAGGGAAATTTATAGCTATAAATTCTTATATGAAAAAAGAAAGATCTTAAATCAGTAAATCTAAACTTCCATCTTAAGCAAACTAAGCCAAAAGCAAGCAGAAGGAAGAAAAAATAAATACTAAATTAGAAATAAATGAAATAGAGAAGAAAGCAAAAATCAACAGATTAAAAATTGAAAAGATCAACAAAATTGACAAACCTTAAGCTAGTCAAGCTAGTCTGACCAAGAAAAACAAGGACAAGACTCAAATTAATAAAATCAGAGTATGAAAGAGAGGACATTACTACTGACCTTACAGAAATAAAAAGGAATATGAGAGAATACTAGGAACAATTATATGCCAACAAATTAGACAACCTAGATAAAGTGTATGCATTCCTAGAATGACATTACTGAGATTGACTCAAGAAAAAATAAAACATCTGAATAGTCCAATAGCAAGTAAAGAGATTTAATTAACAATCAAGAAACATCTCACAAGGGGACTTCCCTGGTGGCGCAGTGGTTGAGAATCTGCCTGCCAATGCAGGGGACACGGGTTCGAGCCCTGGTCTGGGGAGATCCCACATGCCGCGGAACAATGAGGCCCGTGAGCCACAACTACTGAGCCTGCGCGTCTGGAGCCTGTGCTCTGTAGCAAGAGAGGCCGTGACGGTGAGAGGCCCGCGCACTGTGATGAAGAGTGGCCCCTGCTCGCCGCAACTAGAGAAAGCCCTCACACAGAAACGAAGACCCAACACACCCCAAAATAAATAAATAAATAAATTAAAAAAATTAGAGCTAATAAGTTCAACTAGGTTTTAGGATACAAGATCAATATAAAAAAATCAGTTGTATTCCTATACACTGGCAATGAATAATCCAAAATTGAAACTAAGAAAACAATTCCATTCATAAAAGCATCAATAAGAATAGAAAACTTAGAATAAAGTTAACGAAGAAGTGTAAAACTTACATTCTGAAACTATACAACATCACTGAAAGAAATTAAAGATCTAAATAAATAGAAAGACATCCTATGTACTTGGATCGAATGACCTAGTATTAGTATTGTTAAGATGGCACTATTCCCCAAATTGATTCAACATACTCCCCATTAAAATCCCAGCTGTCTATTCTGCAGAAGTTGACAGGCTGATCTTCATATTCATATGGAAATACAAGGGACCCTGAACAGTCAAAGCAATCTTGAAAACGAAGAACAAAGTTGGAGGACTTTAATAACTTAACTACAAAGCTACAGTAATCAAGACAGTCTGGTACTGGCACAAAGGGTAGGGTAGACATACAGATCAGTGGAATAGAATGTAAGTCCAGAAATAAATCCTTACATTTGTAGTCAATTGATTTTCGACAAGAGTGCAAAGACAATTCAGTGAGGAATAGTCTTTTCAACAAATGGTGCTGGGACAAGTTGATATCCACATGCAAAAGAATGAATTTGGACCCTTTCCTCACTCATATATATAAATGAACTCAATCATAGACCAAAATGTAAGATCTGAAACAGTAAAACTCTTAGAAGAAAACGTAGATGCAGATCTTCATGACCTTAGATTAGGCAGTAGTTTCTTTTCTTTCTTTTTTATTGTGGTAAAATGGGCAGTGGTTCCTTAGGTATGACATCTAAAACACAAGCAACAACAACAACAAAATAGGCAAATTGGACTTCATTAAAATTTAGAACTTTATGTTTCAAATGACACCATCAAGAAAATGAAAGCACACCCCACAGAATGAGAGAAGATATTTGCAAATCATTTATCTGGTAAAGAACTTTCATTCAGAGTATATAAAAACTCATACAATCAACAATAAAGACAACCCAATTAAAAACATAAGCAAAGAATTTGTTTTTTTTGTGTTTTTTGTTTTTTGGCCACGCCACGTGGCATGTGGGATCTTAGTTCCCCGAACAGGGATTGAACCTGCACCCCCTGCATTGGAAGCGCAGAGTCTTAACCACTGGTCTGCCAGGGAAGTCCCGCAAAGAATTTGATTAGACATTTCTCCAAAGAAGATGTCCAAATTGGCCAACAAGTCCATGAAAAGAAGCCCAACACCCAGAGTCGTTAGGGAAATGCCCATCAAAGCCACAGTGAGATGCCACTGCATACCCTCTAGGATGGCTATGATAAAAAAGATGGACCATAAGTATTGCTGAAGATGTAAAGAAATTGGAACCCTCATATACTGCTGTGGGAATATAAAATGGTGTAGCCACTTTGCAAAGCAGTTTGGCAGTTCTTCAAAACCCTAAACATAGAGTTATATCCTGTATTCTAGTTAACACTCCTATTTGTATATCAAAGAAAATTGGAAACCTGCCCACACAAAACTTGTTCAGGAATGTTTATAGCATTATTCATACTAGCCAAAAAGTAGAAACATTCCAAATATCCATCAGCGGATAACTGTATGAACAAACTGTGGTACAGCTATTCAATGGAATATTATTCAGCCATAAAAAGGAATGAAATACTGATCCATGCTATGAGATGGATAAACCTTGAAGATAGTATGCTAAGTGAAAGAAGCCAGATATGAAAGACACATATTTTATGACACCATTTATATGAAGTGTCCAGAGTAGGCAGATCCATTCCATCAGAAAGTAGATTATTGGTTTTCATGGGTTTGGGAGAGGGGGTTGGAGAGTGACTGCTAAAGGATGATAGGGGCTTCATTCTGGGGTGATAAAAATGTTCTGGAATTAAGTAGTGCTGATGGGTGCACAACTTTGTGAACATATTTAAAATCGCTGAATTATATACACTTTATTATTTTTTAACATCTTTATTGGAGTATAATTGCTTTACAATGGTGTGTTAGTTTCTGCTTTATAACAAAGTGAATCAGCTATACGTATACATATGTCCCCATATCCCCTTGCTCTTGCGTCTCTCTCCCACCCTCCCTATCCCACCCCTCTAGGTGGTCACAAAGCACCGAGCTGATCTCCCTGTGCTATGCGACTGCTTCCCACTAGCTATTTTACATTTGGTAGTGTATATATGTCCATGCCACTCTATCACTTTGTCCCAGCTTACCCTTCCCCCTCCCCGTGTCCTCAAGTCTCTCTACGTCTGCATCTGAACCTAGAGGCAGTACGTACACTTTAAAAGGGAGAATTTATTGATATGTGCTATATTTACTAAAAATCACTAAGGAGGCATTCAAGTTTAAGGATCTGTTTTCCATTGGTATAGTAAACAAACGGAAAGAAAAGCTGGTCACAGCTATGAAACTGTAAATGAAGCTCTCTGAAAAATACAACAGAAGTAAATGTTGCTAGCCTGAGTGGAAATTTAGGTCCCCTCTTTCTAGAGGAGCCAGCCTATTGGTTAGTGTTTGTGATGAGCCTTGTTTCTCCAATAAGCTGGCTCCCTGCTGAGGTCTCCTGTTTTTACGTAAGACCATTCCTTGGGAATCTATAATCTATATTATTACTATTCTTTCCTGTCTGGGGTAACTGCCTTGGAAATGTAACAGCTTGGTATGCCGACGTTGACATCCATCTTGTGTATATCATTAGGAGAAGAAAAGTCAGCAGTCAATAGGGAGGTGTCCTTGTTGTCAGTTAGTTTTGGTTTCACAGTTCTTTTATATATATATATATATAAAATTTTATTTATTTATTTTTGGCTGTGTTGGGTCTTCGTTTCTGTGCGAGGGCTTTCTCTAATTGCGGCGAGAGGGGGCCACTCTTCATCGCGGTGCGCGTGCCTCTCACTATCGTGGCCTCTCTTGTTGCGGAGCACAGGCTCCAGACGCGCAGGCTTAGTAGTTGCGGCTCACGGGGCCAGTTGCACCACAGCATGTGGTATCCTCCCAGACCAGGGCTCAAACCCGTGTCACCTGCATTAGCAGGCAGATTCTCAACCACTGCGCCACCAGGGAAGCCCCGGTTTCACAGTTCTTGAATGAATAAGATGAATGTTATTAAGTAACTGCTCTTCTCTTTTAAGACTTTTAAAAATGTCTCTTTTCTTCTTAGAAAATATGAAGAGTAGAGGAAATTATTAAGAAGTAGGAGGTAAGCTCTCAAACCTGTTACTCAGAAGCTACCTATTAATCTTTTACATACTCTATTTTTGTTCTTTTCTGTAATTTTTTTCACATGTGGGCTATATCATACTATATGTATATAAATGTCATACATTGTATATGCTATATGTGTAACTATGTATATGCAATTTAATGCAGTTTCACATCCTTATTTGTTTAGTTAATTACTAATTTTCTTGCAGGTATTTTATGTATTTTTTTCCCCACCTAGACTTAAGCTTTACAATTCTTTTGAAGAAGTTAAAAAGTGTTTTGGATTTTTAAAAGTTCCAGACAATTTTAAACACATAGAGAAGTGAAGAGAATGGTGTAACAAATTCTCATGTACCTATCAACATGCATCAGCAGTTTTCAGTGTATGTCCGTGTTGTTTCATCTTTGAGGAGTAGAATAAAAATAGAAGCAATTCTTATTATTATAAACCTGCCATAGGAGAAGCAAAAATAAAATTAAAACTATGTTCTACTTTTATAGTTCACAAAGAAAAAAATATTTAAAATATCTGAAAGATTTTTAAGAAATTACTTCATTAAAATACTAGTGAAGGCAAGTAGTAACCATTATGAATGAATAACTTATCTGGCACTTCTGCAGTGTATTTATTTTCTCCTATTATTTTTTTATAGTATGTATACAGTAATATGGAGCTGTATTTTGTTTTTGGTACTTATTTGTGTTTTCCATTGTGTAGTTTTCTACCACATAATTTGTGGAAGTAACTAATCCACCAATTCCATCTTTTTGGGAATTTAAGTCTTTCTTCTTATTTTACACTTCACTGATAGTTATACATTATATTCCATAATACTGAAAGGGAGATTGTCCTCCATTATGAAATGGTAATGCCTGGTTTTTGAATAATGCTTTTCTCTTTGTAATTATAAAAGTAACATTTTCTATATTCATCATAGAAAAAATTTAGAAAATACAGAAAAGTACAAAGAAAAATATGTAATCTTAGTACCAGAAATTAACCAACGTTAATGATTTATTTCTGTTCATATGACCTGAACTTCTAATATAGTGAACTTTCTTCTGTTACTCACTTTTGGGCATTTACATCATACATTATGGTTGTTTTTTTTGTCATGACTTCACTGTAGTTAATTATTATTCACACTGAGGCGAATGATAGAGAGAAGAGGGAGTTCAACTGATCTTTTTCCCCCTATTGCAGAATATTCTTATGATAACTTGAGGAACTGCAGATTTTAATGCTCTCTCCAAGGTAAATAATTGTATGCCCACCCGAAGTCTCGTGATTCTGCATTTCAAAGATGACATGTACAGAGCTCCCTGGAGACCACAGCACTGTTGGCCTTTGGTGCTGGAAGTTGACTGCTGGGCCTTGTCTGTGCTCAATCTTTCTGGTCTGAGCCAGACTTTCTGAGAATAAGAACTCTTTTCTAAAAAAAAAATTATTTATTTGTTTATTTGTCTGTGTTAGGTCTTAGTTGTGGCACGAGGGATCCTCATTGTGGCGTGCAGGATCTTTCGTTGCGGTGCACAGGCTTCTTTCTAGCTGTGACATGCAGGCTCTAGAATGCACGGGCTCAGTGGTTATGGCCCGCAGGCTCTCTGGTTGTGGCGCATGGGCTGTAGAACGCACAGGCTTAGTTGCCCCGCAGCATGTGGGATCTTAGTTCCCTGACCAGGGATCGAACCCGCATCCCCTGCATTGGAAGGCGGATTCTTAACCACTGGACCACCAGGGAAGTCCCAAGAACTCTTTTTAGTGTTCAGCATCACAGGGCTCTATGTAAGTGGAATTTCTGGTATCTGTTAATTGAGAAAAATTTTCAAACTCAAAATAAGAATTTAGAAATACTTTTTACATTATTTTTGCATTTAAAGATTCATAGCTGCATTGCATAAGTATGAAAATATGGCTAGGAATACTTAGGTCATGGGTAATGCATGACTTGTGTCTGCACTAATTCTCAGACAGACTTTTTAAATAAATAATTAATTAACTTGGCTGTGTTGGGTCTTCGTTGCTGTGCGTGGAATTTCTCTAGTTGCAGCAGGCGGGGGCTACTCTTCGTTGTGGCACGCGGGCTTCTCATTGCGGTGGCTTCTCTTGTTGGGGAGCACAGGCTCTAGGTGCATGTGCTTCAGTAGTTGTGGCACACGGGCTCAGTAGTTGTAGCTCGCAAGCTCAGTAGTTGTGGCTTGCAGGCTCTAGAGCACAGGCTGAGTAGTTGTGGTGCGTGGGCTTAGTTGCTCCGCGGCATGCAGGATCTTCCTGGACCAGGGCTACAAACCCGTGTCCCCTGCACTGGCAGGCAGATTCTTAACCACTGCGCCACCAGGGAAGTCCCTCTCAGACAGTCTTTAATCACTCCACCCTCTCACCTCAGGGGCAGGGGTCAATAGTGTTTGCAGGTTGGGAACCAGTGCTCTGGCCTTTCCAAATGGCTTGTTTTCCCTTGAACAGGCCATAGTCTGTTCTTTTTTGTGTTTTGTCCATATGTATTTGCACATTCCTTTTATCTGAAATGCTTTTTTGCATTTTTCCTATCCCCGCATTCCTCCCACTCCCCAAGAAGAAATTGAACTCTACTAATGACTGCCAATGACTGTTTTCTTCTGATTTTCAACTCAAGCAAACTTCATTCATTCAAAAGCTATTTCTCGAGTGCCATGTTTGTACAAGGCATGGTTGTAGGCATTAGGTGAACAAGATAAGCAAGGTCCCCTCTTTCATAAGACTGACAGTCCTGTGGGAAAGTCAGACAGCAAATAGGTAAACAAACATGCGATAAATTACAACTTGTCATAAATGCTTTGACGAGAACAGGATGCAGTGACAAGGGACCGACCCCCTAGAGTGGTCTTTAAAGGGCTTGCTGAGGAGGTGACTTTGAAGCTGAAGTGACAGCCAGGCCAGCCCAGGCATAAGGAGAATGTTTCAGGCATTAGGAACAGCAAGAGATAAGGCCCCGAAGTGGTAAAGAGTTTGGCACCGAAAAGAGGCCCGTGCCTGTGACTGGTGTTCAGAGATATTTGGCTCGGACATTCAAATTTGGGAGGCATCGGTTTTATAGGCATTTAAAAAATTCATGGAAATGCATGCTTATTATTTTTGGGTGAGCTTTGGGAGAGGAGCAGAGATGGTTAAAGAGACTTGAGGAGGTGCAGCCAGAGAAGTAGCAGGAAGGCATGCTCGTTTGTGGGAAATTCTGGGGAAGGAAGGAGGGGTCAGTTTTGGGATGCCTCCGAGAGGCGGGGTTAGTGAAGTAGGTCTGCCAGCAGGGCCGTCACTCGTGCTCCTGACCAGGGTGGCTGCAGTGGATGGGTGGCAGGGGGCCCGAGGGGAGGGCCGCAGGGTGAACAGGGAGTGCCTCCGTGCAGCTCGCGGGTGTAGACAGCTGCTTACAGGGGCTCAGCCGTCCCTGGTGTCACTGATGGAAGGCCTGTGAGCTCCAGGGGCCTTGAGGAAGTGTCTCAGCTGCCGGGAGTCAGCCAACAGAGGGGAGCTTGCAGGTAGATGCTGGAGAGCAGGCAGCTGAACAGGTGGAGGGGGCTGCCCCGGGTCGCTGGTGACCGTCCCAGGTGTCTCATCCTGCCTGCTTTACTGAGCGAGCAGCAGGTGAGCCGGTCAGGAGGGAGCAGCAGGGTCGGGTAGACGGGCGTCTGCGGAGAAGCCGGGAAAGCTCTTTGGGAGAGAAAGGCAAGCAGAGTTGCCAGAGAACGTGAGCTGGAAGGCTGCTGGTGGCGAAGGGCTTTCTGAAGTTTGAGATCAGTTTAAAACCAGCCTGGTTGGGTATGTGTGTCTTCTCTTCCACACGGTCACCCCTGCAGGCCCGAGAAGGCAGCCGCTTCAGTGTGTCTGGTCCACCCAGGGTTCGGGATTACTAGGCAATGACTCCCGAGGGAGAGAGAGTGGAGGGTAGCTCCATGCTGTTGACACCTCTGTGGAATTTAATGCAGACTCAAAGGAAGGTGAGACTGGGAAGGAGTTCATGGAATCGACGAGGTTGAGGCAATGCACTTGAACAAAAGAGCTGGAGGGACGGGCAGTTGTGGTGGGAAAGGAGGATGGCATGGCAGGGAACTGAGGACCAGGCCAGGAGGGCTTGCTGGGGCCTAGAACAGAAGGCTGAAAGGAGCGGATGTTGTCAGCCGAGGGGTGGTGAAGCCGCTACAGGAGATGAGAGGAGCTGGGGAAGGAGGCAGGGAGGCTGGAGGCCGCATCCGCAGTGGGTGAGGAGTGACTGGGGGAGTGACGTGTGAAAGCCGGAGCGGGGGGGGGGGGGGGGGGGGTGCTGCATCTGCCTGGTGTGCGTGGCAGGGGCCCATCCTGAAGTGCCCCGCTGAATTCCCTCAGGCAGCCGCTTCTCCTTTCTCTGCCACTGTAGCACCATGTCCAGGCCCCCGGCTTAGGGCCTGTCCGTGTACCGCCACCACCGCCTGCTTTTCTGTCTCGTCCTTCTTCCAGGCAATGACCTCCTTGAGGGCCTTGACCAAGTCTTACCTTTTGTGCTTTCCAGGAGTTAGCCTGGGGCACTTGTCACACCGCTGGCCCAGGGTCTGTTCACTGAGTGACTGTGTGGCTACCAGTGAGTGGGCTGTGGGATGTCCAAGGAGGAGAGAGAATCACTGCTGGCGGGGCACGGCCGGGCGTCTTTAAAGGTTCACACCATATCGTAATTATACAAATGATGATAAGGCAGAAAAATTGTCTTATTGATAGAAACAGCTGCTTTTGCCTACTGTGGATTGGTTCTGCTCGTTTCTAGTTTTCGGGGTTGGCTTGTCATTATGATGCCTGCTTTCTACATATTTTCCAGGGAAATTTTTGATGTGCTTATTGATTCACTGGTGCTGGTAATTTAAATTGTACTACTTGATGCTGTGATATGGAATATTATTTTATTGAAGCTTCCTGAGTGCTTTGTAATTTGATTTCTTGTTTCTTAATCCTCTACTTCTCATGCCCCATATAACTTTAACATTTTCATGTTT